ACTTACTTATACCACTGGGTGTAACAGCAAAAAGACGATGTTGCTGGAGCTAAGGTGCTCTTCAAGCAAGCACTCGACCAGTCACAGAGAGCCGGGTTTGAGGAGGGGGAGGCAGAAGCGCAGAAGGCAATCGCTCGCACGAGAAAATCGTAGGGTCATTTATAGTGATAAATAAAATACGCGTTGAATAACTGTAAGCTAAAAGCCTTTAAATTATATTAGGTAGTGAGGTGGAAGCTTAAGAGTATAGGACATATGGCTAACTAGAGGTTATCACCTCAGATTCTGATTCGGGCTCCGATCCACAGCCTCAAATACCCAAAAGTTGACTCTGTATAGAAGAGTTGTTAAAATAAACCCCCTGGGTTTTAAAAAGGCCCTAGCAGGGCTCGAACCTGCGTTACCGGAATACTTGAAACTTGGTTCAGAATCCGATGTGATAACCACTACACTATAGAGCCCTTGCTACACATGTTACGCATATACTCAAAGTCTCCTCCTGCACGCCAGTGATCCTCCCGAGGAAGATATGTATGAGTTTGTACTAATTTTGGCGCGAATATACGGCAAGCTGGATGCCCTTTTGTACATTATCCGGACGGTTTCTTGTATCCGAAGGTTTCAACATTAGCAAACCTTGGGATTTCTCCAGAGACTTGACCTGTGTCCTACATTACGGCGTCAGCCATTTGTAGTTGCAGCCGGCCTGCATGCAACGCACACGACGAGATTCCTAACTGCGCACCCTGCATGCAACGCGCACGATGGGGGGAGCAAGGGGGAGTGTGGCCAACTCCAGGACAGCCCTTTCAAATATGTCAATTTCGCGCTTTTGGCAAAACGTATTTGGAGGTTTCCTACCAGCAAGGATGAAAATAAAGCGGCAAAGCTTACCGGATCAGGCGGTATATCTTAAGCTCAACGGTAGTTCCCAACTGGTATTACTAGGCCAGAGTGCAAAAGATGCGCCATTGCTGCCTACATATTTTAGTGTAAATGCACGCATCAGTTATTGTCACTGTCAACATGCCGGTGAAGTAAGAATGGCCCAGAGCTCCAAAGCGACCATCTATATGTACAAGTGAGCACTACGGAGATTTTCATGCCATAGAGTACGCATATACCCAGGTTCAAGGCATTCTCGGGTCGTACGACACAGGTGGCCAATCACGAGGTAACACCTATCCCGTTTCTTTCCCGTTTCTTAATATGGTGTACGCCTATAGATAACGAGCGCCGACTGTTCTTTGCAACACCAACCATCGCAGAACAAACGCATATTCATCATATTCGATGGTATGATACAGTTATCATTCACGATTCTATGAATACTTATCATGCCCTAGACCAAAAAGAAAATAGGAGCGACTGCACCTAAGCGTGCCAATGCTAATAAACCGGCTACTAACAAACAAGCCACTTCTGAGGCCGGTAAGAGAGTTCGTCCCCAAACACTATGCCAAGCTAAACTCCCGTTTTGCTAGTTGTGGAAGAACCGACAACAGCGTCAAAAGGTGAGATCTAGTTTCTAAAAACCACGATTGCTTATTGTGTCCTAGGAAAGGGAAAGGCCGTGGACCCACCATCTGAAGATGAAGCACATCTTCGGGTCAAGATGACTAAAGATACTTTCCTGACGATGTTCCAGATGGCCAAGGCGGGGATTGATGCTGAGGATTTGGCACGAAAGAAGGGCGACAGGATGGTTGAAGAAATGAAGCAGAAAATGGGGCTAAATGCAGATAATCGTAGCGATGGTGAAGAGAGTGATACAGATTGAATTGTTTGTTAACTATATGACACTTAAAGCAGAGACGTAGCCACAAAATTCGCATTCTTGAGCATGAGTTTCAAGTGCGGCTTGACGTCCTCCAACGGAACCTACATGACTCTTTAGTGGGATGCATTGTATAAACTCATTAGACACACCTCGAATTCCTCTGCCAACTCAAGCAAGTCCTCCTCGGTCAGTTCCAAGAGGTACAATAGGAATGCACGGCGACGCGCAGCTCTTGCTTGAATGCGACCGCCTTCCCTGGGTGCATTTTGCTCCTGGTATTTGCGCTCCTGGATCAAGTCGTGTTGATCTTTCATCATTTGGAAGGCTTTTTGATCCACACAATCGTCTGAAACACAATGCTCGTAGACCTTGTCTGGTGTATCGAACCTAGCCTAGGGTAAGTTAGGGGGATGAAACTGAGCATTTGACATACAACTGGTCATCACCACATCCGCCTGGGCACCTGAACCGATCTCCAGATTCCATCTTCAGGATCAGCTCGGACCAGTCGGTATGTTGTTGCCACCTAACTATACTGAGCGTATAGCATACTCACTAACATAACCCACTTACATGTGTCGCTTCAAATTTCCACGATTCTTGAAGCTAGTTGGAGACCCGCCATAAACCTTGCATTTTTGGCATAAAATCTTCCCGTCGTCCGCCTGCAAAAATTAATGTCAATCGGACTGCATAGAATAAATTTGCAACCTACCTGTATTTGTGCTTTCAGCTCTCGTTCGAACATGATCGGGTCAAGGGCCATATCGAGCAATTCTACACGAAGATCATATGGTTCTGCTATTTTCAGGCGCTCTTCTTGATCCTTGTCCCCCCACTCTTCCTCTTGATGGAACGTTTTTTTCGCGGCTTCGAGAGTATCGCCTCCGGCCAAGTTATTCAACTTGAATTTTTCCAGTTGTTGATAAACATCTGCTACCTCGCCGTCGCTCTCGTCTAGCTCCTCGGTGCTGATCGATGCTATATGAGCCTCTGCCGTTTCTTTATCCAAGGGACCTGTAGGCCTAGCAGGAGGGTTGGCTGGTTCGGGGGCAGTCTTGGATGACCCCGCCTTGCTGGACTTGGACTTGGACTTGGAGGACTTCTTACGACGAGACTTGGAGCCAGAGGGTCCTACAGGTGGAGATGGACCAGCCCCAGAATTAGACAAGGCCTAGTAAGAGGTGAGCAAAGGCTAACCAGCAGTCAGAGGACGAACCTTGGATGCATCAGTAATCAAGGAAGATGTCCCTTTAAGGTAGTCGAGAGCAGCGTCCTTGGCCTGGACTGTGGAGCTTGCTCCTTCGTTTCGTTCCCTTAGGAGACTAGTGGCCTGGCGCGATGCTTTCTTTTGGGCTTGCTGGAAGTGATATCGTAGGGCTTCATTCGCATCTCGTAATTCCTTCTCGGCCTGCACAACAGGTCAATTGGATATGGCGTACTCATTTTTATGCCTACTGCTTCTGCCTCTGCTCGAAATTCGGGATCGCTTGCCCTCGTCACATAAAACTTGTGCTGTTTGATATTGTTCAGGATGCCTATATTCGTCTTTTTATATCCCTTGGCTAAATTATAGAGGGGGCTGCCGCGTGTAAAGGTGTTCAGATAGGCCTCCCATTTGGCCTTGAGAATATCTTCCTTGTTCTGGAGTATTTCGTCTTTCTATATCGGGTGTGATGAAAAGGTGCGACGACAACTACGAATCACATACCGCTCTGAACTCTTCCTGGAATTTCTGGATAAATTCTTGATCTTCCTTTTTCGAGGCTTTGATCGCCTTTTCGACCGAGGGACCAGCAGTGTTTTCAGTATTCAAGCCCGTTTCGTCCTCCGACTCGTCTTCGTCCCCAGATGGATCTCCAGACATGGTTCGAGCAATGGCCTTGGACACAACTACCATTGCAATCCCAATGCGTACACGCATTTGCAAGGCCGTCTGAAACAATCCATATATGCTCTGAATATGTTACGAATCAAACAAAACTGACCTCGGCTCCTGGTCGATACTGTTCCGTGTCTTCACCAGTGCGAATACCCAGCAGATTATAATTTCCAGCTGCGTGGCTATAATGCGTTGAGAGAACCGTCTGTCGGTCCTTGTGGCCCAATGCCACGCTAGTTTCGTCGGCACCGACCTTGACCGTCATCTAGAGCAATGTGAGCGGAATTCGTCTCTAGACGCAATACTTACATCATTGGCAAAACCTCGTCGGTAATCATACGAAGTTACGTTTTCCAACCCAGCCCCCTTTGACGCAGCAGTTATAGCATGTCCCATCTTGCGTGCAGTCCATGGCCTATCTACAAGCTCCGTGCCACCAGGCTTGCAGGCCAAAAGGCTAGACAGAGGTTAGCAGTAGTGCGAACGATCAACTAGTGACTCACAGTGGTGCTTCCGGTGTGGCAAGAACCAATGGGTCATCTTGTGTTGTAACCAGCTCGCGGATGGTCTATATTGGTTCAGTACTGTTCGGTTGAATGTGCTAGGGCACATACCTTGTATATAAATCCTCCTCTTGCAAAGACGTATCCGACGATCCAAAAAGTATCAAAAATGATGTTGTGGGACTTGGTGAGGGCTTTCAGCCAGTAGTCGCCCTCCTTGCCAAGTATGGAGGTGTTGTGGCCCTGAAAAATTATTAGATACAGTCGGAAAGTGCCAGGCAAACTTGCCTTGAAATTTTTAGCCGCGATTTGAACGTCGATCTGGAATTTGCCACGGTTCCAAAAGGTCAGGTCCCCCATGCTCATAAATTTGCCAGCCTCGATATCTTCCTGGTGCCCAGCGCAGAGAGTGCTGGGGCGGAGTCCGGTGCCAAGCATAATAATCAGGACGCATATGAGTTGAAGGGCTCGTAAACGCCCCCGGTTGACTGTGCTTTGTATGAGAAACTCGATCGTGATGCGTGCCTCTGGAAGGCCACAGCTGCGCTTGACTCTCAAGGGGTGTCGATTCAGTTTGAATGTTTTGATAACTAGAAGACGTGAGCGGTTGTCAGCAAATGTATCATAAAACTGACCATTATCAACCCGTTGCAATAACCGATCGACCAAGCCTTCGCGATAGAGCATTTTTGGCCCACACTTGAAATCAGTGGCTGGGTCGTAGGCATACTTGGATATGCATATTACGAGGCAGGAGTACCAGCCTCCTACCGTAGACGCCTGAACACGTCCGCCTCTTTGGCCCTTGGCCACTCGAGCCTGAAATTCAATTAGTGATGGGCAGGTTGAACAAGTGGAACACATACCCTTAGCTCGATAAACTGTCCAGAATACTCCAATACTGCAGTACGGGTCCATGGGTCAGGTGTCCCCCCCTCGGATAAGAGTTCGACCGCCACCTCGTACGCCTCCTTGGTGTGGTTGATGAGTTTTCGAGTAAGATAGCTTCCGCGTTCAACCACCTTTTCAGCGGCCTGTTGAACCTCGTTGATAAGCTCTTGGAGCTTTTCAGGATCGTTCTCGCCATAGGCGAGTATTGCTTTGGCAAACGCGTGCTTGGAATGCTTGCCAGTAGTAAGGACCGTATTAGCAGGTGCCATTGGCCGCAGAACCGATGGCTCGGGGGCTGGCGTTTGGATAGGTATTCCATACTCATCGTACTGAGGGGGGTCGGACATGTTGGGGTGGTGGTGGATACGTTGGCAAGGGTATGTTGAGAAATGTTAACATCGATGC